CCGTGTTCCTGCCCGGCAGCTGCCACGTGCAGCCCTGAGCTCCCTGGCTTTGCTGACCACATCCCAGCTGCTGCTGGGAGCAGATTGGAGCCTGCCAGCCTCGGCTCCCTCTCTGTTGGAGCCAGGTCTGTGGGAAAAGGCTGCCAGCCCTCCCATGCCCCACGCGACGTCCAGTGCCAATGCGTCGCTGTCCAGCGCAGCGTCCACGGCGTGGGGATGTGCCCGGCTCCTCTCCTGCCCTCTCCAGAGCTTGGACAGAAGAGAGAAGTCAGAGCTGCCTTTTACGTCCAGAGGGTTGTGCCTTTTTTTTTTTTGGAAGCATCATTTCTGACAGCACCGTTCACTTCCCGGGAAAAGCAGCCCCAGAACGTGACTGCGCTCGGAGGGAAGAGCCCGTGGGGGTTTGGGGAAAAACAGAAATTTAAAAAAAAAAAAGCACACACCCTTCTTTTTGCCCTCAGTATTTGTCAGCCAACCCAACACACACCAATGGTCAACGCCACCAACTTCATTTCATCTGGCAAAGAACCCAGGAAAGCACCTTAATTTGGGAACATCACAGCGTCCAGCCCGTGGGGAGAGAGTCTGGATTATTCTGAGCAATAAGAGCCCCCCCGTGGGAACCTAGGGAAGACTGGAAGTATTAAACACGTGTAACTCGACCTGCCAAACTGCAGGAACCTGCACTTTTCAGTTCTCTTTAGAGGAACCGACTTGATTCGATGATTTTTTGGGAGGGGATAAAGTGATTCGGTGTCGATTCAGTGATTCCTGGCCTGGGACGGGTGCCACGCGTGGAAAGGGATGGCAAGGGGTGGAAAGGGATGGCAGCCCCTGCCTGGGGCTGGCCAGGGCTGTGCCAAGGCTCCTCACCCCTGCTGGGCCACCCAGAGCTGGGAGCTCACAGGGAAGGGGTGAACGACAAAGCCTGGGCAGAAATGCCTGAAAAAGGGAGATTTGCCTCTCCCTGTGGCCAGCGGGGAGGGGGCCCGGGAGCCCCGAGCCCCCCGTGGCTCCGGTGCTCTGAGATGTTCCCATCCCAGCACGGGATGTTCCTTTCCAGCAGCCCTGGGCAGCGGGGCCGCCAGCGATGGCTCCTTCCCAGACCAGATTAATTTAGTGTTTGTTTGTCTGCTCTGGCAGTTTAGTGTCCATTTCCACCCACAGAACCCTCACACTGTGTATAAAGATGGATCAAAAATATATATAATATATATTCTTGTGAATGTTGGTGGAAAAGAGAAAAATATATAACGTTTCAGTCGGCTTTATGTTATTTTTTATCTCTATGAATGAAAGGAAGAAATGGAAAACCTTTTATTTCCATTGACCACCCCTCCACACACACCTACCTGTAGATACCAACAGGTTTTATGGAAATGTTTTACTTTTTAGATTTAGGAAAATGCTTCTGTTCTCATTGAATGTTCTGTCTTGTAAGATTGTAATTTCTATTTTTTTAAAGAAAAGAAAATAACTAAATAAAATTTCCTCTTTCAGACCAGTCAGCTTAGGAAGGGAGGGCAGGGGAGGGAGAAACGTTTATTTAAGGACAAAACTGTTGTTGGAATTTTTCATAACATTAAATAAAAAGTAATATAATGTATGGATGACAACCTTTTTACTGAGGTGTGTTCTGTAGGTACATAGATGTATATTGCACAAAATTTACAGGAAGAAAAATAAAGTCTGTTTCACAAGGTTAAAAAAAATAGATATATAATGTTGGAAATAGTGATTTTAAATTTTAGCAAAGAGTGAGAGTGGAAGTGAATCCCTCAAAGTGATGGAAAAGCTTTAATTTCTTCCTTGGGTTAAAGACTGAGCTGTACCCAGAATTATTTGGGTTGGAAGGGAACTCAAAGCCCACCCAGTGCCACCCCTGCCATGGCAGGGACACCTCCCACTGTCCCAGGCTGCTCCCAGCCCTGCCCAGCCTGGCCTTGGGCACTGCCAGGGATCCAGGGGCAGCCACAGCTGCTCTGGGCACCCCAAGCCAGGGCCTGCCCACCCTGCCAGGAGCAATTCCTGCCCAGTATCCCATCCACCCTGTTCAGGATTTGCACACAAGGGGAGATCTCAGGCACTGGAGGTGCTGCTGCTTCCCTTGATGCACAGCACAGTGAGCTGTGCTGGGCCCTGCCCTGGGGGGTGTTTGCTCTGGAGCCCCTGGCAGCCCCTGGCAGCCCCTCTGCGCCCTCCAGCCTGGGCACTCCAGGGAGCAGCAGAGCTCTGGGGAGGTCCTTCCTCAGGGAATGCTGCTCAAGCAGCTCTTGAGGGACAGGGACTGCACCTGGAGTACCGGGGACACATTTTGGGACAGGAGAGTGGAGACAGGTCTGGGGCATGGTGCATCTGTGGGGAGGACTCGGGGACAGCCAAGGAGCATTTGGGAGTCATTTTCAAACATTTCCCAGTCCTAAGAAGGAAAGAACACCCCAGATATACCAGGGCATTACACATACATGGATGTTCATGGATGTCCTGGGTTTAACAAGGATGCCAGGCACTAATCTCTGCTCTGGGACAGGGCCAGGAAGGGCTGGAGCTGTGGCAGGGCTTGGCATGGAGCTCAGGGCAAGGCTCTGGCCCCCGAGGGTGCTGGCACTGCCCAGGCTGCCCAGGGAATGGTCCCGGCCCCAAGGCTGCCAGAGCTCCAGGAGCGTTTGGACAGCGCTGCCAGGGCTGCTCAGGGTGGGGCTCTTGGGGTGGCTGTGCAGGGCCAGGGGCTGCCCTGAGCATCCCTGGGGGTCCCTCCCAGCTCTGGATATCCCAGGACTCTTTGAATCTCTGCTCTGGGTGCACACAGGTCAAGGGGATCACTGGGTGTGAAGCCAAATCCTCGTTTCCTTCTGCTTCCCTGTGAGCCTCAGCTGGGTGTCCATTGCCAGCTCAGGGCTGTGTCCCCTGCAGGTGAGGGCTGTGTCCCTGCAGGTGAGGGCTGTGTTCCCCTGCAGGTCACGGCTCTGTCCCCCAGCACACACCTGCGCTGCCCAGGAGCTCTGGGGCACAGGGAAATGACAAAAAGGGACCCTTGGAGCAGCAGGGTCAGGCAATGCCAGCTCCCACTGCTGCCCTCGGCCACCCCAGACAACACAGCTCCTCCTCCTCCTCCTTCCCACCCATCTGGGGTTCAGATATTGTGGGATAAACCCTGGGCAAAGCAGGGCACAGCTTGTGGAGGTGTTGGGAATGCCCAACAGCCACTTTGGGCTTCCCTGGGGTGTCCAGGGAACTGCTGTGGGAGCTCCAGACCCTGGGATTGCTGCACGCTGACATTTTGGCTTTCATTAAAAAAATATTTTTTTAAAATATTATTTTTTAAATTATTTTTATTATGTTAACTTTTATTATTTTTATAATGTTAACTTTTATTATTTGTATTATTTTTTTATTATTTTTAATTTTTTCCTCCCCAAAAATCCTGTTTCTTTGGTGTATTTTGGGAAAATATTAAGTTCAAGCATGGCAAACCCATTTAAAAATCACGTGTGAAGAGCTACTCTTAAAAAAAAAATAATTTTGGAAAATGGTTGAAAGGGAGAAGCTGGGGATTGTCAGGGAGGTTTCAGACCTGGCTCGGGAGGGACAGGATCCCTCGGGACAGGGACAGGAGTGTGGGGTGGCCCTGGCGCTGTCCCCCAGTAACTCCCTGGTTGCTGGTCCGGCAGCACTGGATTTACTGGGGCCGAGTGACCTCTGCTGGTTCACACCCAAAATCTCCCCGGCGTGTCGGATCCCGATGGATTTCGGGGCAGCCCGGGGGATTTGGGGAAATTTCAGGGCAGGTTTCACAGAGGTCTCAGCCAGGAGGGATGAGCACTCCTGGAGCCGGCAGTGACAGAGGGACAGACAGCACGGCCCCAGCGCTTGGAAATGCCTTTTAAAGTGCAGCTGGGGCTTTACACACCCCAGTTAATAGGATTTGCAGAGCTGAGACCTTGCAGAGGGATCCCTGCTATATTAAGGAGTCTAATGTGGTGAAAATAAGGGCTTAAGGAGCTCTAGAAGTGTTCAGGCTGGAAGGGACCAGAAAAAAAAATTAAATAAACAAAATAAAATTCCTCTTTTAGACCAGGCAGCTTAGGAAGGGAGGGCAGGGGAGGAAGAAACACTAATGTAAGGACAAAACTGTTGTTGGAAATTTTCATAACATTAAATGAAAATAATGTAATATATGGGTGAGAATGTTTTTACTGAGGTGTGTTCTGTGGGTACATAGATGTATATTGCACAAAATTTACAGGAATAAAGTCTGTTTTATGAAGTTTAAAAAGTTTAAAAAATAAGGTAAAGAAAAAAAAAAAAAAAAAACAAACACAAACAGCTAATAATGTTGGAAATAGTGATTTTAAATTTTAGCAAAGAGTGAGACTAAGAATGAATCCTTCAAGGTCTTGAATTGGAAAAACTTTTAATTTCTTCTGTGCTCTCGGGACCGAGCTGTACCAAAATCCCAGAATGGTTTGGGTTGAGAGGGATCTCAAATCCCACCCAGTGCCACCCTGCCATGGCAGGGACACCTCCCACTGTCCCAGGCTGCTCCCAGCCCTGCCCAGCCTGGCCTTGGGCACTGCCAGGGATCCAGGGGCAGCCACAGCTGCTCTGGGCACCCCAAGCCAGGGCCTGCCCACCCTCCCAGGGAACAATTCCTGCCCCATATCCCATCTGAATGGGATTTTTTTCCCATCTAAATGGGATTTTTTTCCCATCTAAATTTCACTTTTCCAGCGGGAAGCCGTTCCCTGGCTCCTGTCCCTGCAGGCCTTGTCCCCGGTCCCTGTGCAGCTCTCCCGAGCCCCGTCAGGCCCTGCCGGGGCTCTGGGCCCCCCTGCAGCCCGCTCTCATCCCGGTGAACGTTCCCGCTCTCCCGGCCATGTCCCGGCCCTCGGGCGGGCTCGCTCCCGCTACCTCGCACAATTCTGTCCCTCCCGGCTGCCGTCCCGCGCCACCGCCCCTCCCCTCCGCCCTGTCCCTCACATGATAGCGGTGGGTGTGCGCCGCTAGGCACTCTGGGAGTTGTAGTTCTTGGAGCGGGGCGCGCAGCGGCGGCGGCGACTGGCGGGACTCTGTTTCCCAGCGCGCCCCGCGGCGGCCCGAGGGGAGCGGGACGGGGACCGGGCGCTCGCTGAGGTGGGCGCGGGGGGATCGGGCCGGGGGCGACACGGGCGGAGGGATGGAGGAGACTGGGGTCGGGGAGGAGAAGCGCGGCGGGGGGGAACCGAGGGCCGGGAGAGGGAGCTGAGGGTCGGGGGGTGCCGCGGGAGGGGGAGCCGGGGGATGAGGGGAGCAGGGAGCCACGGGGGAGGAGCGGGGAGCAGCGCGGGGAGCTGGGGTCGGGAGGCTGCGGGTGGGCTCGGGGCGAGCGGGGGCCGTGCCGCTCCCTCAGTCCGGGTGTAACGGGGGGTGCCGGGGAGGATGGCGGGGCTGCGCTTGGGGAGGTGTCGGGGACAGCTCCGGGGGGACGGGCCGGCTGTGAGGGGAACGGGGGCCGGCTGTGAGGGGAGCCGAGTTCGGCTGTGAGGGGAACGGGGGCCGGCTGTGAGGGGAGCCGGGTTCGGCTGTGAGGGGAGCCGGGGCCGGCTGTGAGGGGAGGGGGGGCCTGCTGTGAGGGAAGCCGGGTTCGGCTGTGAGGGGAGCCGGGGCCGGCTGTGAGGGGAGCCGGGGCCGGCTGTGAGGGGAGCCGGGGCGGGCTGTGAGGGGAACGGGGGCCGGCTGTGAGGGGAGCCGGGGCCGGCTGTGAGGGGAGCCGGGGTGGGCTGTGAGGGAGCCGGGGCAGCCCCGCCGGGAGGAGCCGGGTTCCGCGTGCCGCAGCCGGCGGGACCCCCAGCCCCGGGGCTGCCGGCTCCGGCCGTGCCCAGGGCTCTCGGGAATCGCCTCTCCTTCCCGGCCTGGCCCCGGGGACACGGCTGGCAGCGCTCGGGGGGCGCAGCGGGGACACGGTGACGCAGCGGCCCCGCTCCCGCCGGGGAGGTTCGTGGCTCCCCGGGGTTTGAGGGTGAACCTCTGTGATTGTGTGCTTCGGGTACCGGAGGTGTGTGTGGTGCCCTCGATAGACAGCACCTGGATGTTGTAGTTTTATTTCCCCTTCTGATTTCCCCTTCTGGTCTCAGCGTTTTGTAACTCTCTCGAGAAACTCCTTTGTGGAACCTGTGATAAAGAGAGCAGTGGGTTAGAAATTAAGCAGTTGGTGGATTGATTTACCTGCATTTTGGTGTTATTCTGGGCTAATTAATATTTTTGCTGCTGTCTGCAATCCAGCTGTTTTGTGTGAGGCCAGTCTGAGCAGGTGACAAGGGGTGGAACAGGCTGGTGTCCTAAGCACATCTGTGCTTTCTGCCTTCTTGGGCCATCTGAGCTTCTGTTCCTGAGCAGACACGCTTCACTTCTGGACGTGGTTGTACCAAAATCAATATTTGTCTGCAGTGGGTTTTGCATAGGCAAATCAAGGCTCCTGCCCGCCTGCTGAGGCAGCACAGGGCTGTGTAAACAGGCTGGGGGAGCCCTGAGGGGAATTGCTCCCACATGTGCAGTGTCCCCAGCCCCAGGATGGGGAGACATGGGGCAGCAGAAGCCCCTGTATAGCCAGGAGTCCCCACGAGCCTCCTGGAATGACGTGGGAGGGGGATAACCCTTGCAACTTCACTATCCCCTGCTCCTTTTCTCAGGGCGCTGCTGCCATACTGGTTGTGTGTGGCTTTTGGAGTTATTTTTTGGCTGGTTGTCACTGCAGGGACAGTGTCCCACCCTGTGAGGGCTGGGGGTGCGTCAGGGGCAGGAAGCACTGCCACAGCCAGGCTGTGTCAGCTCTGGGTTTATAGTGCTGAGCTGATGGTTTTGCAGTGGCTGCTGCTGCCTTGGGCTCTCTGGGAAGTTCCTGGTAGGAGCTGGGCATCTGGAAGAGGCTCAAACCCAGCCTTTTGTCTTGAAACCAGTGCAGGGCCACCACTTTCTCTTTAAATTCAACTGGAGGGATCATGAGAAGGGCGTTTGCTTGTGTTGGGAGCAGCAGAGGCTGCGCTGATTCTCTGCTGAGCTGGGTGTTTCCAAACCCAGATCTCTGGGATCCCTGCAGGGGTCTCATTCCTTTTAGGCTCTTCTGAAAGGTCTGGGGTCTGCTGGCTCAGGGTGGGTTCTGAAAGCCTGGTAGGCTGCTGGTCCTCCCCCAAGCTGAGCTTGAGCTGCTGTCAGGATTGTGTGTTGTGCCCAGGTTCCTCATTCCTCTTGTGTTGCTGTGGTTAAATCCCTGTTGAGGGAGTGTGGGCAGTTCTGCTCTGTGCTGGGGTCCTGCCCCTCTGTTTGCTCTTGGCAAAGTGCTCTGGGTGAGACCCTGGAGTACAGGATTGTGTGGAAGCTTGCCTTGCTGCATCACAGAGTCAGTCCTTACAGCTGGAAAATACCTCCAAGGTCATCGAGTCCAAGCTGTGCCCCATCCCCACCTTGTCCCCAGCCCAGAGCTCTGAGTGCTACATCCAGCCCTTCCTTGGACCACCCCCAGGGATGGGGGCTCCAGACCTCCCTGGGCAGCCCCTGCCAAGGCCTGAGCAGCCTTTCCATGGAGAAATTCCTGATGTCCAACCTGAACCTCCCCTGGCACAGCTTGAGGCCATTTCCTCTTGTCCTGTCACGTGTTCCCTGGGAGCAGAGTCATCAAATCAGAGTGAAAATACAGAGGCAGTACAGAAAATATGCTAAAGCAAGGACTCAGAACCTGGGGGATCTGTTGGATGGAAAGCTTGGGCTATTGGGCTCTTCTGAGATTGGCTGGGACATCTGCAGGGCACAAGAGGAGCCAGTGTCCTGTGAATCTGGTCTTGGGGACATGCTCCAGGTCACTTGGTGGGTTTGACAAAGCAGGAATGAATTCAGCTCTCCCACCTCCCTGTCTGCTCCTCTTCTGGCCTGGCTTTTGCTTGTTCTCTGCCACCTTTCTGTGATAGTGGAGCAGAGAGAAATAACAAACTTTCAAAATTACTTGATATGGACAGAATAGCGGACTGAGGAGTAGTTTTTGCAGTAGCAGGAATGCAGGGGATACTCAGTAAATTCGCTGGGGATACTAAATTGGAAAGAACTGCTGACCCCTTGGAAGGCAGAGAGGCCCCACAGGGAGTCCCTGACAAATGGGGCCTGAGCAGCCCCCAGCCATGTGACAAGTGACAAGGGCAAGAGTCAGATCCTGCCCAGGGATGGGGCAGCCCTGGATGCAGGGACATTCTGCGATACTCAAAATGTGCCTCAAAGCAGATTCCCACAGGAATTCCTTCACAACATTTTCCCTAGTCTGAGGTGGTGCAGTGTTTCACACTGCAGTCACATTCAAAGGAATCGTGTTGTCGTCTGCCTGGAAAAACAGCACTGCTTGTGTTTGTGTCTTGGTTTGAGAGGGAAGTGGTGTCCCTGGAGGTGACACAGGGCATTTTGTCTGCGAGGTCCTGGTGAAGAAAAGCTCCAAGTGTCTCCAGTGGACTCCTGAGTCATGTGCATTGGACTGTGAACTTTGCAGTTATTCATTGACCATGGATGAGCACGGTGGAAAAAGGAAGTTCACTTCACACCAGAGTTTCCTTAGCATGTGTGGGATTTTCCTCCCTCCACAAGCAGTGGGTTATAGATTAAGGAAATCTCTGCAGTGGGTGCAGGGTGTTGGGTTTCACCTGTTCCAAATTAAACTGAAAATACCCACGTGAACAGAGATCTGATTTATGTGTTGGAGAGGGACTGTTTGTAAGAGGGTGTAGTGAAGGGACAAGGGGGAATGGCTTCAGACTGACAGAGGGCAGGGTTAGATTGGGTATTCAGAAGAAATTCTTAGGAAGAGGCTCCCTATCCATTTACCAGGATCTGGGAAGGTCAGCACATCTCAGGAAGTGATTACTCAGTGTAAAACGTGGCCATGTGTGCTTATCCTTGCTGAAAGAATGTTCTTAATGCTGCTTTGTGGATCCACATCTTTCTATGGAAGGGGGTCCATCACCAGAATGCTGCTTTATCTGGCGGTTTTATTTATTTATTTGAGTTAAAGCCTCTCCACAGCACCACAGGCCTCCTTGAGAGGAGGGCACAGGAAAAGGATTGTTTGGCCATTGCAGGAAATCCATTGTCTGGCTCTGTCAAGCCAGGAATGTCCCCCTCAGTCTTCCCTTCTGGTCCTTTTTCCAGTGGACAAACACCTCTCTGCAGCTGTAGGACACCAACACTGAAGTGCAGTAGCTAAATAATCCTCTTCTGAAGAAGAAGAGGATTATTTGCAGGCTCATTCTTCACTAAAGGATTTCTCTCTCTTAGTGCTTTAATGTAGCTGGTTGGTGGCCATTTGTTCTGCCCCTGAAATTCCCAGATCTCAACTGGGAGCAGCTGCAGAAGGGTGGGGTGAAGTCTTAATGGTGTTCTTAACAATCTTCATCCTTTGTTTTCTATTCACACATTTGAAAAATGCAAAGCAAAAGGCTCCCATTTCCAAACCAGCAGTCACAAAACGGTGTTGGGCAGTGTTGGTGTTGAGGGACAGCCCTGAGGCCTCAGCTGTGGCAGGGATGGGGACAGAGCCTCCTGTCCACACGCTGGGGCTTGTTGGAGACTGGTCCAGGAAAATCATATGTTTTCCTCTGTGCAAACATATTTAAGCTTGTACATCCCTGCAGAGGAAGAGCAGGCTGCTCTGCTACAGTCCCAGGTGCTGCTGTCTCCACAGGCCGGGTTAGAGTAGCTCATATGAAAAGAAAAGCAAAAGCAACCCAAGAAAACAGCTGTGCCAGTGCAAAACTCTGCAGCCTCCAGACCTTACCTGAGGACAGCACCAAGGTGCAGCAGGACCAGCTGCTGTGAATCCTGAGGGATTTGGGTACAGTGTGGCTGTTCTGACCCCGCTGCTGAGGCTGCTGGTGGTGTTTTTAGGGGCAGATTTTAGTCTAGACTCCTTTCATTGCTGTCAGACTCCACAGTGCTGGTTTGCAGGGTTGGTTTGTGTGTTCTGTGTTTCCATTCTGGGATTTGCAGGTAGGGACACATGGTGTTTTTATCCTTAAGGAAGAAGGGGTGGAATTAAAACTCAGCAAAGACCTCTCTGTGTATTTCATCTGTGGGATCAGCTCTGCCAAAATCAGCAACACGGCTGATGCTGGGTAAACTTCCCAGGATTTGCTTCTGCCAGAGCTACAGCCACATTCAGTGCTGGTAACAGGAAGAATGAATCTGCATTTGTGCAGAATTTCTAAAATAACAAGGGGTGTTTGGTTTGGTTCCAGCTGATTATTTTTTGTTAAGCAGGAGTTTAGTGCCCAGCTAACGGGGATTATCTGTTTGTTCCAGGAGCTGGGAAGCACCACAGGGAGCCAGGAGCCAACAAATCATCTCAACACCTCCATGAGGCATTAAGTCTGGTGAGCTCTACACATTTCTCTTCCAATGTATGAGCTCTGCTGGGTCCCACCCTGAGCTCTGTGGCTGCCCCTGGGAGCTGCAGGTGCTCTGGCAGGGGCTCCCTGAGCATCCTCAGCCTTTGCCAGGGGGTGCCAGGGGCACTTTTGTTTGCTTCTGGATAATACAAACCTCCCAAGTGGCTGAATGAGGTGCTGCCAGAGCTTCCTCTGCCCAAGGAGAAATCAGGATCCTGTTTGGGGGGCTCCAGCCTTCCTCCTCTGGGTGATGGCCACGAGTAGTTTGTAGTGGGAGCCCTGGGCTCATGTTTGTCACACACTGGGAACATTCCCAGTTCCAGGAGGTTCTCTGGGTGCTGCTTAGTGGCATGTGCTGACCTGATTTTCTTTCTCCAACAGATCTATTGCTCTGTCTGAAACCTCACCAGGGAACACAAGTGTTAGAAATGGCAGGTAAGAGCACCTCAGGTACAGCCAGTAAGGAGAGTGGTTTCAGAGTTGTTCATGATGCTGTGGTGGCTGTAACATGTCAGGAATGTGACCTGTGTCCCTCTCCAAGACCTTGGTGATCCCTAAAGCTCTTCAGCTACTTCTCTTGCCTTGGTCACATTCACTTTCCTGCTGTGTCCTGATCTGTCACCTGAGGTTTCTGCTCAGGTGATAAAGGTTCAGGTGTGACTTGCTTGAAAGTTTTATGGGAGTGGAATTTATTCAGAAACAAAGTACATGAGAATAATTCCTTCTTTCCAGAGGCTTTCCACAGTGTTCCTAGCTGTGCTATTGACATTAATCCGTCTGAATTATACTTGCAGTAAAACTAGTAACAAAATTCCAACCTTTTTTAAAATAAGAGGAAGTCTGGAATTTGCCTCCAGCTGCTGCTCATGGATGGTGCAGTTTGGTTTTTGAAGCATGGGGCTCATTTGCTGATCAGATGTGCTGATCCCAGCCTTGATGAGAGAGCTGTAGCACTCCAAGCTCTGCAGTCAGACATAAAAGGGGATATTTTCACATAATTTATTTTGTCTAATCTCAGAAGTAACCCAGAACAGCTGGCAACTGCAGGGTCTCTGGGTGGGAGGAGGTGAGCAGCAGCTGGGCAGCAGCAGAGAAGAGGTGTAATCCCCAGCTTTGTGTACCTAGCAAACAATCCTGGGGATGTTTGGACCATTTTTATGAGCTTGAAAAATGACAAACTGCAGTGGCTGCTTGGTTTTGGCCCCACCATGTGGGAGCTCTGCACTGGTAGCTGGCAGCAGCTCTGTCCATGACAGAAAATGGGAGAGAGCAGAACCAAAGGAACAATCTGCAGCTTCAGCTGTTGAAGAGGGACAGAACAAAAGTTTCCTCATCCCTCAGAAAAAAAAAATGTTAGAGAATCTGCTTTTACTGTGATTGATTAATCTTGGTCTTCCTGGCTTCCCTAGAGACCTGTTCTTTCAGCTTTAAAAGCTGTGTCCCCTCCCTTTCCCTTGATCCAGCATTGTTAAATCCCTTTCTAGGCTGCAGGGACACACTGTGCAGGAGAAATCCCATTAGGTGTTTACAGCAAACAAAAAATTAATGCAGAGGAGCCCAAATTGCTGTGGACTTTGAAAGCATCCGTGGGCCATCAGCTCTCCATGGATGGAGTCAGCAGTGGTGTTAACCAGTAACTCAAACCAGCCTGGAGAGCATCTGAATGAATGTAAAGTGGGTTTAAGGGAGAGGGGTGAGGAGGGGCTTGATGTTTGTTTTTATCAGGAGAAGTCAAATTGGGCTGGTGACTTCAGATATTTTTCCATAGCTACTTCTGATGTATTCCCAGTGGGTGTTCTCACCATATTTTCTGTGTGAAAATATGCATGAGGGAAAGCCTTTTTCCTTCCTCAAGCCTGGCTGCAGCTCCAGGCTCTTCCCTGCCAACCTTCAAAGAGAGCTGAGGAGCTGCTCCTGCAAAATGTCTCCTCAGCCGGAGATAATGGGAAGGGAAGGGGAACTCTTGTGCTGACAGTTCTTGTTCAGACATTTCCTCTTGTCTCCTGTGCCATTTGGAGGTTTTCCCAGGACATTCTTCATCTCTTCCTCTGGTTGTTTTTAATTCTGTTTACTGGGGCTGAAGGAGGCTAGAGACAATTAGTCACAATGCCCTGGAATCAAACTTTAATCAGCTCTGGAAGGCAAGAGCAAACATTCCCAAACATGTAGGAGCACACATCCAGGCACACACAGACAAATCTGGGAGCTGACAGCAGCTGAGGATTTAGGCATTTAATTACTTGATTTTAAAACAGAAATTCTTCCCAAGGTAGAGTTTTCTTCACCATATAGCTTTTGGCAGCAATTGCTGATTTATTGTCTCTGAATGCAAAGCTTTTTCTTTTTTTCGTTGCTTTTTTTTTCCCTATGCCTTAACCTTGCAGGAAAAACTTGAATGTACCCTTTTCCATTAAAAATCTTGTATTTTTTCAAAACAAGATCATCCCTGACACAGAATCATGGAATCACAAAATGGTTTGGGTTGGAGGGGACGTCAAAGCCCATCCAGTGCCAGCCCTGCAGGGACACCTCCCACTGTCCCAGGCTGCTCCCAGCCCTGTCCAGCCTGGCCTTGGGCACTGCCAGGGATCCAGGGGCAGCCACAGCTGCTCTGGGCACCCCAAGCCAGGGACAGGAATTCCTTCCCAACTCTGACTTACTCCATGAACTGGGTGATACCTGGGTACACAATTCCTTATTGTCCCAGGCTACAACAGGTCCTGAGGCCTGACCCATGGCCAGGACATGCTCCTGCCTACCCAGAGCTGGTGGCTGAAGGTAAATCTGCTTGTCTGGACACCCCCCAGCCTTTCTTTCCTCTTGCTGTGGATTTTTGCAGGGTTGTAATTGAACACCTCTGTGCAGCTGTTTCCCCCAGATGTTGCTGACACCTCCCCCTTCCTGAGGCAGCTCATCCTGGAGCTTTAAAGTGTTTTTTTTTTTTCCTTGCAGCACCTTTCACACAACTTCACACTGATGTGTAAAGATGTTAAATCCACGTGGTGTTTATTAGCTTGTTCCTATTCCCCTCTCTCAGCCTTGTGTGTAGCAGAACAAATGTCCTGTCCACTGCTGAGGAAGAAAACCAATATATTTGTGGTCTGGGGAGAAGATGAACACGCAGCACTGCTGGGAAGGTGTGGAGGATACAAGGCATTTCTGCTCCCAGCTGAAATGTGTGTTCTGTGTTCCAGAAAAGGTGAATAACTTCCCACCGCTCCCCAAGTTCATCCCTCTGAAACCATGTTTCTACCAGAATTTTGCTGATGAAATCCCCATCGATTACCAGTTCCTGGTGAAGAGAATCTATCATGTGTGGATCTGTAAGTTGAATAAAAACAGCTGTGCTGGAAAAAGGTATTTGTGTAGTAAAACCCCATAGATCTCAATGACTAATGTGCTTTAAAGTTTTGATGAGGAGCAATGATCCCCCTTAGAATACTCTAATATAACTTTATACCTGAATTTTAAGCTGCTGTGCCTTGAATCCTTGAGGGATCTTGAAGAAAGGAGAGTATCAGTGCTGGAAAAGTCTAATAGTAAATCTGAGGGAGAAAGCAGACCATGTTTGATACCTTTATTAATGTCAAATGATCATAGAATTCCAGACTGGTTTGGGTGGGAAGGGACCCTAAATCCCATCCAGTGCCAGCCCTGCCATGGCAGGGACACCTCCCACTGTCCCAGGCTGCTCCCAGCCCTGCCTAGCCTGGCCTTGGGCACTGCCAGGGATCCAGGGGCAGCCACAGCTGCTCTGGGCACCCCAAGCCAGGGCCTGCCCACCCTGCCAGGGAACAATTCCTGCCCAATCTCCCATCCAGCCCTGCCCTGTGGCACTGGCAGCCATTCCCTGGCTCCTGTCCCTCCATCCCTTGTCCCAAGTCCCTCTCCAGCCTTTTTTAAACCCTATTTAACTCCCAAAAATAGCTACCTTAAGGAAATTCCTCGTTCCCCTAAAGTAAGAGGAATAGGAGAATTTCAGACATTCGCTGCTACCTGGCTCCCCACCTTGCTCTAGAAAGGCCAGAATTCCCTCTTATTCCCACATTTCCCTTCCTAATGGAAGCAGTATCTTCTAGCTGCATGCTGGCTCTCCCTTAGCTCTCCAGAGCCCCCCAAACATCCTGCTGGAGCTGGGAACTGATCCTGTCACAGCTGGTGATGTGCTGATACCCTGTGAACAGAGCTCCTGGCCCTGGGCTCCTGTTGTTTGCCTTAGCCATTGAGGAACCAGGAATGAAAATTGACCATTCTTCTGCAAGGAATGAAATCGGTGTGGCAGGCCTAGGAAACCACAGGGAATGCTTTGCAAGATTAAGAATCTTTTTGCCTTGCTTATCTTTTTTCCCCCCAAATGCTTGTCATCCTCTTTACCCTTCTCACTGAAGGAAAGCTTGTTTTCTGCCAGCTCTGCATTTGGTGGCGTGGCTTTTATTCCAGATGCACGGGATGTGTGTAGGAGAGAGATTTGTGTGCATAAATAATGGCATAATCCATGGCTCCATTGTTCTTTGGTTATGTGGAGCTGCTGCAATGAGCTCTGTAATTTTCTTGCCTGAAGAAGCTGCCTGTCCCTCCAGACTCACTGGTGCGATGTCGAAGCTGTAAAGCCGCCTTTGTCCTCCCCTCTCCCAAAACAAAGAGTCCCTCAGTCGAGTTAATGGCAGGCTGGAGGAGAGCCAGGGATTTGGGCATGGCCAGGAGAGCTGCCATCTGCACCAGGAGTTTCACATTTCCATCTCCTGCACTCAGGAGTTTCACATTTCCATCTGCAGTGCACTTCCTTTGGGGGTCTCCCTGAATTTTTGGCGTGGGCTGGAGAGAGATGTGTAAAGGGAAGAAGGTAAACAAGGAAAGGGCAGTTTTGAAAAGTGGAAACACACAAGTCGTTGCTGGAAGGGTGATTGCTCATTACTTTAATTGGATGTGAGCACTGGATTAAGGTGGAGAGAGGTTTGGGGAAGGTTGTACCAGAGCTCCCACTGCTGGAGAGCAAACTCCAACCTGAGGCACAGGGAGAGCCAAAAGTTCCTTAAAACTTTGTAGATACCCCTGGCTTGGTGTTGTTTTGTTGGGTATTTTAAAATAAGTAACTTTTGGAGAATAAATAGCTTCTGAAAATGAATATTTGGAGAAGTACAGCTAAGTAGTGTGTAACTGAAATATCACAGATTCATGGAATCCCTGAATGGTTTGGGTTGGAATTACCTTAAAGCCCATCCAGTGCCACCCCCTGTCACGGGCAGGGACACCTTCCACTATCCCAGGGTGTTCCAAACCCTGTCCAGCCTGGCCTGGGACACTTCCAGGGATGGGGAATCTTCAAACTGTTAGTTTAAATACGTAGAATTAATTAGTTTAAAGAACTAATATTCTTCCCCCCAACATTAAGACACATCCAAACCATTGTGTACAAAGCTTTGTTGGCTACTCAGAAGACATTTTCTTTGCAGTAAAACAATGTTTTATTTTACTCTCAGGCTATGTGTAAGTCAGAAGTAGCAGCTGGGTATAGGTTTTGCTCCCCTGACTGTGTTGTCAGTATGATTTTGTGACCATAAAACCTTGCAGTTGTTTAGGACCCCCAGGCTGTGTGGAGGCAGGTGGGTCAGTGCCCAGGAGGGCCAAGGCAGTGATGAGCAGATGAGCTGCAGAGCCATGGCAGGGAGTGGAGTGGGGCATGGGCAGGGCACGTTCCCTTGGCACAGGTGAAGAGAAATCCAGGGTTTAATTTTGCCTGAATGAGGCCAAGGTCCAGAGTGTCACCATGAGTTTATCACCAGGCTGTGCTGGAGGAGTTTGGTGTTTGGACCTTCCACCTTCTCCTTTCTCTGTGCTTGTTGATACAGGTTACCACAAAGGGTTTGAAGAGTCACCAGCAGTTTTCCAAAACAGGAGCTTGTAAATTGGCATCTTTGAGCCTGGCAGAGCTTGGGGGGATGCAGGGACAGCTGTGGGGAGCCCCTGGCTTGGGGCTGAACCCCCTTTCCAGAGATGTGACCTCCAGGAAAATGGGGAGCTGCAGCCCTTCATATACTAAGTACTGCTTAGTGCAGCAGTGCTGTGCCCTGGGGGCCTTTGTCAACTGTTCCTTTTTATCCAAGTGACAGGAACAGGGATGTGAAAAGGCCTCTAAGCCACCCCTGTGGTCCCATATTCTCAGCTTGATTGGAGTTTGTTTATCCCCTTGCTCAAGGCAGCACTGCCAAGGCCTCAGGCTGATATCCAGGCTTCCTCAGAGGCCCAGGGAAGCAGAGAGAGAGCCTGCAAGGCACTGAGCTGGCTCAGAGATGGCTCCTGAGGCAGCCCCACACAGGCAGGGGCAGGGCTGGGGTCACCCCCCTCTCCTCTCACAAAGGGGTTTGGCTATAAATGGAAATTAGACCTTGCTCATAATTCATAATAACACTGGCCTGAGTCTTCTATTGGTCACATCAGTTGCTACCTAAGCTCTCCATGCTTTGACAGGTCATAAAAGAGTTCCCTCATCCCTGTGCTGCAGGATCCCTCTGAGCTGGATGTTCCTGTGCTCCCAGCTCCAGGTCACACAGCAGCCTGTGCCTTGCTCAGAGCAGCTGCACTGCTGCCCCAGGGGCCCTTCCCACTGTAACCCTGGGGGCTTCACAGAGTCCTGGGGTATCCTGAGTTAGCAGGGATCCACAGGGACCATCAGTCCAGGAGACCCCAACAGCCCCACCCTGAGCAGCCCTGGCAGTGCTGTCCAAACGCTCCTGGAGCTCTGGCAGCCTTGGGGCCGGGACCATTCCCTGGGCAGCCTGGGCAGTGCCAGCACCCTCGGGGGCAAGAGCCTTGCCCTGAGCTCCATGCCAAGCCCCTCACAGAGCCCCAGCCATTATCTTTTGTTTCCTTTTCTCCCGAAGTCCTGGCAGTGCTGCAGCCCACGTTCTCTCCTGTGCCCTCTCCCCAGTTTACTGCATCACGCTGGCCGTGAACCTCATTGCCTGCCTGGCCTGGTGGATCGGGGGAGGCTACGGGGCCAACTTTGGCCTGGCCATCCTCTGGCTGGTCCTCTTCAGCCCCTGTGGCTACGTCTGCTGGTTCCGACCTGCCTACAAAGCCTTCCGGTGAGTGCCAGCCCAGGAGGTGCTTCTGGTGCAGTTCCCTCTGGAAGTTTCCTCAGTTGTTCTGGGGAGTGCTGCTGGGGCAGATCTCTCTGGCTGGGATGAAGTAAACAATGTCTTGTTTACTTCCAAAATGAAGAAGAATGTGGCTACTTCTATATGCTAGATACCGGACTGAGGGTCACATAAGATTGGAGGTGAGCAGTTTGGCACTTCTGAGAGGGTTAAATTCATATTTTACTTAAATATCTCAAACTTAGCGGCACCCTCATCTCAGTGCAGCATTAAAATAGGTACTAATTGGGTAAAGCTTCATTGAGGCTTATTTTGATGGAAGACTATTATTAGTTTTTGAGAACTCTTCTGATTCCTGTCTCCAGCTACTTGAGAGCTTGTCTGCTTAGCTTTTTAGATAAAAGCAGTTCCCTGGAGTCAGTCCTTCTGAAACTCCACAAATATTTAAAGCCATCCTACATTTTTGCTTTAATTAATAATCATTTGCATTTGCTGTGGACCACGAGGCATCACTCAAACATTAATGTGTAAAGCCTGGCAGAGCTAGGAGGGTCCTAGCTCGAGCAGTTCCCAGCCTGACACGGGGAAAGGAGGGGCCTGCCCAGTGCCACCATCACACCCCACACACCAGTCAGGGGTTTGCCCTCCGGAGGTGTAGGATGCTCTGGTAGGATGCTCTGGATTTTGATTATTCACCAGACTCTGTGATGAGCTGGTTTGGACGACAGCAAAAGCAGCTGATGGAAATGGGGGGTGACAGGTGGGTCCTGTCTAACCCCTGATAAATTAATTGTTTAAATGTGCTTCTGAGCTGATGCTTTGTGTGCCCACAGCACTGGGCGCTGTTAAATCACCAGTGGCATCATGGAGTACAGGGGAGGGTCATTTCTGCTGGAAAGAGAAGGGTTGGATTTGTCTCAAAGTTCCAAATGACGTGAAAATCCCAGCTCTGAACTCTTGCCCTGTGGGGCTGGAGTTTGTCCCCATGCTGAGCTCAGAAGCCCCAGGGCCTCCAAGTCCTGGAGCTCTGTTCAAAGAGGAATTTCCATTCTAAAGTCTGGGAAAAATTACTCCTCCCTGCTGACTTCCCCCGGGCTCCACAAGGGCCGTTTCTCATTATTCCTTGAACGTTGTTTGGATGTGTTTATGCAATGAATGCTGAGAGGTCCCTGAGGTTACTCTGTGCAGAGACTTGCAGTTAAAAAAAGACTCAACCCCAGGGACAGAGTGGGGAGAGCAGGGATCATCCCTTGGGACAGCAGTTGGGCTGGAAATCACTGCAGAGGGGCAGCACTGCTGGGATCACAAGTGGTGATTGCAGAGGCAAAATCAGCCCTGCTTGTCCTGGAGAAAGCCACCCTTCAGTGCTGGCACCCTGTGACAGAGTGACATCCTGTGAGGATGCTTCTCTAAAACCTTCGTCATCCCACTGCATCCCAAATTAAATTAGCTGCAGAGCTTTGGTGCTAGGGCAAAGCTGTAGCAAATCTGCACCAGAAAGCTGGATGAGAAATCACCTTTTCTCTGTATCCCCACTAATTCCTGCAGATCCTTTCAAATGAAGACTCCTCCAGCCCCTTCAGGTTGGAGTTGCAAGAGTCTGTTTGAAGGCTCAGCCTCGAGCCTAATCCTTGTTAATTGGATTCTGACAGGCACCACTGTCAGCAGGCCCTGCCTAAAGTAGTTCTTTCTCAATGCTGTACTCTGAGGTGGTATTTGAAGGGTGGGATTGTGGGGATACTCAAGGATAATAAATCTTCCAGAGCCACCATCTGTGACACCCAGACCAGCACGGGCAGCTCTGAGGAGCGTGGGTGTGACTGGAGGCTGCTCAACGTGCCTCACCTCCCTCATCTCCTCCCAAGGCATCAGGGGCTAGAATTATAAAACTAACAATCATCAGCATAATAAAAATAATTAAAATAATAAGCATTTAAATACTTTCAGGGTTTAAGCAGGAGCTGGCAGTGATTGCAGCTCTTTTCTTAAGTCCCCTTTGCACCAAACTGCCTCACAAGCATCTTTTTTGTAGATCTGTAGGTAAATCATTGGCCCTTTGAGTTCCTTAAGAGTTATGATAATCATTTGTATCATTAAAAATGACAGTTTGAGGAACTTAAGATGTGGCTGGTTTGATGGGATGAAGATGTGTTATGACAGAGCCCAGACTTGGGCAGGGCAGTGCTGGACCCCCAGTGCACCCATGACAGAGACTGTGAATGTCTCTGGTCAGCATCTTGCTTGGGGTCATTTTCATGCTAATTATTGTACCTGCATAAACTCAAGGACCTCACCTGTACATCCTGAGGATGGGGAGCCTGCAGAGATGGGAAGTGTGCCTGCTTTCAGGGTACCACCCACCTCTCCCATGGCTGTTTTCCCTCCTGTGATGTCCCAGTGCTGGATTATTTACCATGGGTGTGGGAACGTGATGACAAGCAGACACTGAGACATTCCCAGCTGGAATTCTTGTGCTCAGTGATCCTTTCTAGTGTATGGACAAGCTCTGCCTGCCAGCACCAGGCCCCTGTGTGCCTCCTTGCCAGGGCAGAGCTGGGCAGGTGTCAGGCTGGGCTGACATTCAGTCAGAGAATGATTCAGACTCTCTGTAGGAGACTTGTGTCCCTCAGCCTCTCCTTGTGTGTCATCATACATGCAATTCCTCAGGGAGGGCAACTGCAAGAGCCAGATTATTGGGAGACAATCTGTGCTGCTGAGTCATGGAGCTGTGTGCTCTCACTGCCAGGGAAGGGGGAGAAGCCTCCCAGCACACAGCCATGGAGGGAACCCTCTGGAGTCCCCACTGTGGGGGGTTTGAATGTGGTGGTGGGGTCAGACATGGGTGTGGAGCAGCACAAGGTGCCAGTGCCCCCCTGACCTCCTTTCTCTCCACAGGTCGGACAGTTCCTTTAATTTCATGGCCTTTTTCTTCATCTTTGGGGCACAGTTCCTCCTCACGGTGCTGCAGGCGATCGGCTTCTCCGGATGGGGAGCGTGGTAAGTGGGAATGTCCCAGCTGGCCCAGGAGCTCTGGGCTGTGGCTGCTTCCATGGGCTTGGAGAGGCTGATGGGAGCCTGTACCAGGTGGAGAGGAGGAAGCTTTCTGATTTCCCCAGTGGCATAGCTGTATCTGCTCTTGGGGTGCACAGTTTGGGTTTCATTGCTGTGTTGGGCAGAAATCAAGGCCAAGTTGGATGGGACTTGGAGCAGCTTGGTCTAGTGGAAGGTGTCCCTGCCCGTGTGGTCTGGCTGGGCTTTAAGGTCCCTTCCAACCCAGATAATTCTGTGATCTTCACCTGGTTGCTCTTTGTAGCCTCTTCCCTCAGTGTCCATTTCTTTTGCCGTGTAGCAGCCCGTGTCAGGCTCAGCATTGCCCTCAGTGCTGGCAGCACACGGTGAGCTGAGTGTGGTGACTCATTGCTGGCCTATGAGAAGTACTGTGAGAGTTCTCCTAAAATAAATGGGGGCTTGTCAGTGTCTGTCCCTGGTTGTGTTATTATTGTTTGGCATTTTAACTTCCTGTCTACAGAGACTTGAGAGCAATTCCTGCTGAAACTACAAGTAATGGAAAGTCTTAGCACTCCATTTAACACTGGTTTCAGAATTGCTGATGCCTCACCTGGTTTTTGCCAAGAAAGGAATGGAGATGGAGTGTAAATGAAAGGACTCTGGTGTTCCCTGATCCCAGTTCTGGTCTCTAGATGCACAACAAAAGCACCTTGGGAATATGTCTTCTCTTCCCAAAATCCATGCAGCTGGCTGTCCCTTAAAGCTGTCAGACTGGATTAGTGGGGGATGCTGGCAAGTGAGAGTTGAGATCTTGGGGAAATACCTGCACTGAATTCTGTCAATTGTCTTCATTGTTCATTTCCTTTTCAGGAGCTTAAAAGCTGCCTTGTTATTTCCAGGTTACTAATCACAGAAACAGAGAATGCTTTGGGTTGAAAAGGACCTTGAATCCCATCCCATTCCAGCCCCTGCCATGGCAGGGACACCTCCCACTGTCCCAGGCTGCTCCCAGCCCTGTCCAGCCTGGCCTTGGACACTCCCAGAGATCCAGGGGCAGCCACAGCTGCTCTGGGCAGCCTCTGTCAGGGCCTTAGAAGCACATCAACAGTTTGTCTGATAACAAGGACACTTTGAAAAGCAGATTATAATGCTGTTGTGTCTCTTTTTCTGTTTCTTCCAGTGGATGGTTGGCAGCCATCACCTTCTTCAGCACCAGTGTGGCAGCTGCTGTGTTCATGCTGTTCCCTGCCATCATGTTTACCATGTCAGCGGTCGCAATGCTCATCTGCATTGTAAGGGTAGGTTCTGCTAGTGGAAGGTGTCCCTGCCCATGGCAGGGGAGCACAATGAGATGAGATTTAAGGTTCCTTCCAGCCCAAACCATTCTGAGATTCTGGGATTCTTCAGATCCCTCTCTGCCTTGGAGAATCCCTGCTGTGTATCACAATAATGTGAAGAGGCAGCTCAGCAGCCACCACAAGCCATCACTGCTTTGAAAGGTTGCACAGTGCAGTCAGTTGATGGCTCTCAGAGTTTCTGGAGGACAAATCTAGACAGCACAAGACAGCTCAGGCTGGAAATTGTCACGGTGTCATGTGGTGATGTTGCTTTGTGTCATGCAAAGCAAGCTTCATGTGGAGGAACCTGAGGCTCTGTGAAGGGGGGAGGTTTGGATTGGATATTAGGAAACATTTATTTTCACAGAAAGGATTGTAAAATGTTGGAACAGGCTGCCCAGGGTGGTGGTGGAATCATCATCCCTGGGATGTTGTTCAAAAAATGTGTGGGTGTAGCCCTTGGGGACATGGGTTAGTGGGGAACATGATGGTGGGGCTGGGCTGATGGTTGGACTTGGTGGTCTTGGAGGTCTTTTCCAGCCTCAGCAATCCTGTGATTCCATGATTTGTTACTCCTGGTGAAGCATCTGCAATGGGAACCAGATGGCAGGGTGAGAATTGGGTCTCTGCAGGAACAAGGATTTGTAGTAGGACACTCTGGAAAGCTTTGGCAGAACCCAAGACATCCCTCTGGATGCCCTGGATAGCTCAAAATCCTGGCAGGGGCTCAGAGACCCTGGCAGGAAGCCAGAGACACTTGAGAATTCGATCTCAACCCATGGAGCAAATTACCAACGTTATATGAAGAATTACAAGTCACAAAAGTTTAAGTAACATAACAGTAATTGTCACAGGGTGAAAGGTGAAATTTTGAAGAATTTGACTACGGGGGTCTAAGGGACAAAACGGAAGAATTTAGGTGTTGTCCTGTCTTTCTTCCTGCTTCTTCCTAGCCTCCATCTTCTTGGTGATGGTGGCACTTTGGGATTGGTGTAGAGTAAAAAGTCACTGTCTAACATAAGTGATAAGTATTAGAACATAACTGTAAATATTGAGTAAATATGGAGTAGTTTATAGTATAAAAGACAACACCAGCACCGTGGGAGGGCAGTGTGCCTCAAACTAACCTGCAAAACAGACCTCAGCAAGCCAGACAGAAAATGTTTTAGATAAGAAATAATAAACAACCTGGAGAACTACAGCTGAAGACTTCTGACTTCTTCTTCAACAGCTGGGGTGGGGAAAAGAGACTTTAACACTCCTCAGGATCACCTTGACCAAAGGGGATCCTGAGAGGAAAACAGAAGCTCTGTGGCAGCAGTGGTGTTGGACTCTGTGTTGGAGAGGTTTGACCCCCCTGGCCTGGGGGATCCCTCACCTGAATTGTGGGCATGCTGCTGGAATGTGTTCGAGTTTTGGGTTGATATTCTCTGTCTGCACCTCTGTTCACTGCATTAGTGCATTTCTTGTGCTTTGTTCCTCAGAAATGCAGCTCTTCATAGAGACAGGAACAAATCCTGTTGCCAAGTGGCTCTGCAGGGGCCCAGCTCTGGGCTCCTGGTGCTGACTCTCCTCTTGTCCTCCCTTTTATCCCTTAGGTACATAAAATCTACCGAGGGGCTGGTGGAAGCTTCCAGAAGGCTCAAGATGAGTGGAACAGCGGCGCATGGAGGAACCCTCCCAGCAGGGAGGCCCAGTACAGCAATTTTTCTGGGAACAGCCTGCCAGAGTACCCCACAGTGCCCAACTACCCCTCTGCAAACCAATGGCCTTAAGCAGCAACAGCTGCAAACTGCCTGGAGTCTCTCCTTTTTGGTCTTTTTATTCTTGTTCTTGGAAAAGATCATTTGCATTCCCTCCCAAGCACCCCACTCATCTCGAGGGCCTTTCTGGTTCTTGTCTCCTGATCCCTGAGGAATATCCGTGCTCTCAGCCCTTCCCACCTCCACTGCACTGCACGGCCATGGCAGAAAGCTTTTTGTTTGCCTTGAGTCACCAGTATTTGCCTCGTTGCAGACTAAGAACAAACCCTTCGCTGCCCTTGCTTGAGGGAATCCTCTCCTGACCATCCCTGGAAAAGGCTCAGCTTCCCCACGATGGCAACACTCCCACAGCTGCTCCTGCCCCTGCTCCTGCTCAGCTTCCATGGAATGCCCAGCACAGCACCACGCCGTCTGTAGCAAAAGCAATCAGAGCATTAGTAGCAACTGGTGTTTACTCTCCTGGATGAATAATGTGGAATTTTTCACTCTAAGGGAAATGCAGCATTTAAATGATTTGGTACTAGTGACACTGAAGTGATTTGTGAAAGCTCCACCCTCCGTGGGAGGATCCCTGCAGGTAACAGAGGTGCCCTGGGTGAGTCCTCGGATGGGAAGTCCCCACAATCCTCCTTTGCCTGCTCAGACTGTTGTGATGCTACAGCTCTTGCTTTCCCTGCTGCCAAAACCTCTTGCTGGATCTGTGTGTTCCAAAGGTACAGATTCATCAACTTAGGTTCATGATTTCTCTGTAAAGCCTGAATCAAAACCCAGTGCAGAGCTGACACTGGGCCTTGGTGATGTTCACCCTGGAGCAGGGACTCAGCACGAGATTTCCCCACCACGTAACTTCCAGCCAGGTTTTGTGCTGGATGCAAGATAATGATTGATCTCAGTGCTGGAGCCCCAGTGGGTTTGGAAATGCTTCTGTTACAATGAATAGTTTAATTCTGCCTTCTGGTGTAGCTGAACTCCAGATATTACAGTGGGGTCTGGGAGACCAAGGGAAGTTTGTTAGTCCTCATGGCTGCTGTTGGCTCTGTAGCTGGCAGGACTTCCCTGAGGGAGAGATTCCTGCCTTTCTCCAGCAATCAGCTGAAGGGAGGATGAAGCTGTTGGGAGGGATTGTTTTCCCTGAGATTATCCTCCACCTTGTCATTCATCTCCATTCTGTGCCTGAGCCATCCAATTCCCTGTGTCCTGCAGCGATCCAGGCAGCAAAGGCTGCGCTTTCCTCTTCCCCCTCAGCCTGCTGTGAATTTTTTAAAACCTGTCCAAACTGGGAGGTCAGTTCCCAATTTTTTTATAGGGAGTGAGTATTTCAAGTCTTTGGCTCTCAAAGTTTTGGCCAATGATCCAGAGTGCTCCATTTGGGAGACCTAGGAGGGGTTGGGCACCCTGGGGATCAGACCCGGAGCCTGCTGCCTTGGCAGGCTGTTGGTGGGGTTATTCCAAATTCCTAAATTCACACTGAGCAACTGGAAAACACAACTGGCTCCTGGAAAGGGACAGAGACATGGTCCTAGCTAGGTGGAATTGATTTGCAAGTGGTCTTTTGAAATTTTTTCTCTACATGTGCCTTATCTAATGAAATCACAGTACACAGAGGAGAGCTCCTGCTTCCCCCTCGCCCCTGCAGAATTCCCTGTTTTCCTGTTAACTTGTCCTGTGTCACACTGTAAATAATGAGGGAAGCACAGTCTGGAATCTGCAAGACCCCTGTGTTACCAGGGCCAAAGCAAAAGCAACCCCAGATTTCCCCAAATTTCCGTTTACAGCCACACTGACCCCTGCTGCAGGAGCAGCCCTCCACTGGCTCTGGGATGTGCAATGTGCTCCCAGCACCAGGGGTTTTTCCTGGAGAGTGTGCAATGTGCTTGGGAGGACGAGCTCTTGGAGCCTTCTTAACAGACCATGACCTGATGGCATTGTGAAGCTTTTAGGTGCCTTTGTCTAGTGTCAAGTGTAATTTTAAATGTTCTTTGTCGCTTGCCATCGGAGTGATGGAAGAACTGCCTGGCGTTGACTCCCTGGAAATACGATGGATGCACCACGGGGTGAGGGCTGAAGGTGGGATTGGCCACGCCTGGGAGCCAGGACATGGTGCACCTGTGTCCCTCAGTCCTGCCCCTTGCCATCCTCTTGCCAAAATTCTTCAAAACCATTTGATACCTGCCCCATTTCAATGTGTCAAGTTGGAGGTTTTGAAGGAACCAAGAGGAGAAGTGTTGCTGGGGGCTCCACATCCTGCTTCTCTTTGGGATTTTCCCCTTGGAGAATCTGGGGGCTGTGTTGAAGCACCCACCCTCAGTCACACTGGAAATGTTTGATGCAAGGAGAGGGGGTGCCTGCCCACCAGAATGGTTGGAGCTGGACACCAAAATCACACCCTGTTAGCCTGCACTGCCTGAGATCCCTGTGGAGATCAATGCACCTCCAGCTGGGAGCTCCATCCCCTCCCCTCCCTCCTCTTCAATGCCAGAAACTCTAATTCCAGAAAGTCCAACACGCTGCCTGAACAAATGGCTTAATTTTTTTCTTTTTTTTTTTTTTTTGGACTCCTCTGTATGTTTTTAAATGTTTACATTAGATTTCTAAAAGTTCTTAACACCATTAACCCGGCCCTGGCTCCTGGTGTGGTCGGGCGTCACGTGGCGTGTCTGTGTGTGATGTTTCGTGTCACCTGTGGAGCTCTGGGTTTTGTTTGTGTTTTTCTCCTGATCACAAGACAATAAATGCTCATCCTGTGCTTGATGAGGAGAACTGGCCGCATCAGAGAAGTGTCTGTTCCTAGGTAACCGGAGTTATCTGGCAGAGGGAAATGGCAAAATCTCTGTGTTCCTCCAAAGTCTCCCACTTCATGTTGTTTTCTCTGTGAAAGAACAGCACGTTGATGGATGAGGCTCATCCTCTGTGCTGGGGACTGGTGTGAGTGGCTTGTTGTGGTTTGTACTCTTAGAGATGCAGCTTTGACCAAAGGTGCTGCCATTGTTCCCATGCTAACAATGGGAGTGGGAGAGCAGAGGTGTGGAGAAAGTCCCATCCCCCAAGCACTGGGGTCATTTTTGTGGCCTCTCCATAGTGCAGAGAGCCCCTGCTAGTGCTGGTGTCTGCTTTCCCCAGTTATTGCCTGGAAGGAGACTCTTACCCCTGGAGTAAAAGGGCTTGGACAGCGAAGGTGACTTGAATCCCTTTAGCATGTGGCTGAATTTATTGCCCAAAATGTTCTTCCAAAGTTATCACAGAATCCCAGAATATTTGAGTTGGAAGGGACCTCAAAGACCATCCCATTCCACCCCCTGCCATGGCAGGGACTCCTTCCACTATCCCAGGTTTGTACAAGCCTCAATGACCTTGGGCACTGCCAGGGATCCAGGGGCAGCCACAGCTGCTCTGGGCACCCCAAGCCAGGGCCTGCCCACCCTGCCAGGGAACAATTCCTGCCCAATCTCCCATCCAGCCCTGCCCTCTGCCCCTGGCAGCCATTCCCTGGCTCCTGTCCCTGCAGGCCTTGTCCCCAGTCCCTCTGCAGCTCTCCTGGAGCCCCTTCAGGCCCTGCCAGGGGCTCTGAGCTCTGCCTGGAGCCTTCTCTTGTCCAGGGGAGCAGCCCCAGCTCTGCCAGCCTGGCTCAGAGCAGAGGGGCTCCAGCCCTGGCAGCATCTCCATGGCCTCATTCCCACAGGTCCATGTCCTTGCTGTGTGGGGGCCTGGAGCTGGACACAACACTCCAGGTGGGAGTATGGAATCACCATCTTGTGGTGTCATACCCCAGCCCCACTCCATGGCAGACAGTTAATCCTAGAAGAGCCGTGTCCCTCCCAGCTGTTGATGTGACATCTGCTGATCTCAGTGTGTCCCTGTCTCCAAAGCCCTGTGCCAGGCTCCCCCTGCCTGGCCCTCACCACCCTTCTCTCTCTGACAGTGCTTCCCTACAGCTGCTGCTGATGTGTTGAGCATGAGGATGAATTGGATTTCCCTCAAATTCTTGCTCCAGAGCCTCAAGATCTGAGCATGAGGCACATTTTAAGCTCCTGCTCCAGCTGTTGCTCGAGCAGGACCTTGGCACTTGCAATGAGGGGATTTTTGCCTCTGCTGCAGGAGGACCGGGCAGGGTTTGTCAGGAATGGGGGTACAGCCAAGCTCAGCCCACCACCCTGAGGAGCTCCAAAAAGCTCTGGATTGCTGGCACCAGGGTGTGAGGGGCACTTTGAGGGCCTGGCTTTTCCTTTCTCTGGTTCTTGCTGTGTTTCTGTCCCTCTGCAGTTCCAGCTGGAAGGTGCTGCCACCCACCCTGGAGCAGCTCACTCCTCGTTCTCCCGAGCAGTCACAGTGGTCCCTTTGTGTTGTCTGCTTGTGAATGAGCCCAAACTGTGTGGTGCCCCCAGGAGAGGGCCAGGGCTCCTGGCTGGATGATTTCCCAGCAGAAATTCCCTGGATTCCCTTGCTCCCCGTGCTGCTTCCGTGGCATGAGCTGCTCGTGTCTCTGCAGGCCTTTGGCACAGCGTGTGCTCACCGCTGGAGATCTGCCTTGAAATAAAACCCAAACTCCTTTCTTCCCCACTCTCCTGCTCCAGAGGGTGGTTCAATTCCCCAGCCAAACATCTGAACAACTTGTGAGTTCCCAAAGTGTGTGAAATCACCACAAAATTGCAGAGTTTGGGGGGTGGGATGGGGCAGATAGGAAAGGGAGGGTTCCAGGAGGATTTTATCCTCTCCAGGAGTGATTTTATCTTCCTCAGTGGTGATTTTATCCTCTCAAGGGGCAATTTTATTCTCCCAGGGGGTGATTTTATCCTCTCCACCGGGGCAGGACATGTGTCACAGCACCTCAGCACCCTCCTGAGCCAGGCCACAACACAGGAACAGGATGGGAGCAGTTGGAATTCACGCGTTCAGAATTTTCCTGATGCTCTAAAATCAGCTTTTTTTGGAGGAGCAAACACCCACAGGGAAAAGTCCTCCAGCCAAACGTTGTTGGGAGAGCTTTTCCCTGGAACATTTCTGTGACAGGAGGAGAACCAACTCAAGCAGTTGGAAATGCTGAAATGGGTGCTTGGGGTGATGCTGGTGGCTGGACCTGATTGTCCCCCAAAGCCACACACATTCACAATATTGCCTGAAAATACTTTTGGGGTGCATCTGCTCCACGCTGTGCTGAAGATGTGACCAGCAGGGTTGTGCAGGGGTGTCCCCTCCCTCCAGCCTTACCCTGAGAGCCTCAAACTTGGGGGCTGAGAAGAAAAGGGGTGAGAAGGAAATGATCCTCTGGCTGTGCCCTCCTTCGCTGGGGGGGTTCTGGGATGGAGTGTTTGTCCCTGGGTGAGAATCAGGAGAAAATGAAAGGCAGTGGGGTCTGTGAAGGAGAAAATCAGGAGGTGGCAGTGGGGTCTGTGTCCCTGCTCAGGACACCCCACAGCACGTGATCTCAAAAACAAAAAAAATCTCAAAATTAAGGAAGTCTCCAATTAGCAAACCCAAATTAGTATTTCTGCCCAAACTAAAACCCCCACACTGTCCCAGCACATCCCACAGTCCTGGAGCTCTGTTCCCTGCAAGGCAGTGGGATGGCAGTGCCTCAGTTTCCCTCAGAGTGGCTCTGCTCGGGGCTGGTGTCCCCAAAAAGGTGACAGTGCCTGTAAAATCCCTAAAATCCCACCCTGACTTCCCTCTGTCCCCACTGGTGGGGTGTGGACCCCCAGTCCCTGTCCCGAGGTTGCCCCCGAGGACCTGGAGTGTGGATGAATGTGGGGATGAGGGAACTGTGCCCCAAAAGGGGCTGTACCCCAGAGCAGGGGCTGTACCCCAAAACAAGAGCTTTATCCCAAAACAGGGATGTACCCCAAAACAGGGATGTACCTCAAAACAGGTGCTTTACCCCAAAACAGGGGCTGTACCCCAAAACAAGGGCTGTACCCCAAAACAGCGATGTACCTCAAAACAGGTGCTTTACCCCAAAACAGGGGCTGTACCCCAAAACAGGGATGTACCCCAAAACAAGAGCTTTACCCCAAAACAGGGGCTGTACGCCAAAGCAGGGGCTGTGCCTCAAAACAGGAATCCCCCCCAAAACAGGGATTTACCCCAGAACAGGGATTTACCCCAAAACAAGGGCTGTACCCCAAAAGAGGAGCTTTACCCCAAAACAGGGATTTACCCCAGAACAGGGATTTACCCCAAAACAAGGGCTGTACCCCAGAACAGGGATTTACCCCAGAACAGGGCTGTACCCGGCGCGGGGCTCACTCGCACATCAGGGCCTGTCCCCTATCACCGGCTCCATTCCCCCCACGCCGTTCCCTGCAGCAGGCCCGTGCCCACCCGGGGGACAGCGGCATCCATATCGCGACAGCAGCGCGATAACCCACACCGGAGCCCCACCCACCAGTGCGGCCGGGCCCTGCAGCACCCTCGGAGCGCGGTGTGCTCCCTGTGGGAGCCGCTCCCCGCCGCAGGGCGCCGAGGCAGCGCGGCCCTGTCGCGATAGCGGCGCCTGTCCCGACAGCGGCGCCGGGCAGCGCGGGGTTAACCGCAGCTGCCGTAAAGCGCGCGGCGCTGCCGCAAAGCCGCGCCGCCGCCTGCCGGCCGCTATTCCCGAACGCGCCCTACGCCAGCGCCGCCGCGCCGCCACCCTCGCGCCCGCTGCGCTTGCGCCGCGCTCCGCCCCGCGGCCCGTATNGGGCCGGGCCGGGTGTGAGGGCCCGGGGCCGCCTCGCCCCGTCCCCTCCCGGCCGTGCCTGTTCTGCGGCCCCGGGGAAGGGCTGCGAGCCCCCCGGTGCCCCGAGGCCGGGCGGGCGGCGGGGATGGGCTCCGATGGTCCCGCCGTGCCCCCTGCCCGCCTGCCCCAGCCTCGCAGGATGTGGGCTCCTTTGTATGTGGCTTTCCTCCCTCCAGAGGGGCCGGGAAGTGTTTATGTGGGGAGAGGACCGTGCTGAACCTGGCGTTTAAAACGGCTTTTTTTCCTTCAGCGGAGCGGGTGAGGATGAATGTGAGAAAAGGGAAAAGTGCCCTCCCCCTCCTGCCCCCAGCAGACAGGAGCCACTCGAGCTGCTCTGAGGTTTGCAGACGAGCAGCGGCTCTGCCGGGCAGGCCCGTGGCTCCCGGCGCTGGCTGGCAGGAGGGAGCTGCTCTGCATCTCGGGGAGCCAACAACGGGAAGTTGTGGGGATGGTCAGGAAGGTGCCTTTTCTTTTGTGTGCCGGGCAACACGAAGACTTGCCGTGTTTGGTGTATTTTAAAGTTAAAAAGCAAAGTTTCACAAACCCCTTTTGAGTTGCCATGATATCAGTCCGTTCCAAACAGTTCAATTTAGCCTGGACCCGGGTTAAAAGGTTTGTAAAACCTTTGGAAGTTGCCTCCTTAACTAATCTGTTTGTTTTCCTTCCGCACAACAAGTGGTTGGAGGTGTGGAAGTGCATTCTGAGGGGTGTGTGAGTTCACCTGCCAGCCAGGCTGCCCTGTCAGGCTGCCACACACAGTGTGCCCCCATCTCCCCACGGCCAGCACATAGGTTTAAAAATTGGGCCTTATGTAACAGATCGGAGCAAACGTTTGGTGTTTGCCAGTGGTCTGACAAAGAATTGCTGCAAATTAGGGCAGGAGGCCTCCATGGGGAGCCTTTGCCGGGGCAGGATAGGCTTATCTGCTGTGAGGAACTTGCCAAAGATTTGTTGGTTTTGTTTTAATTTGGTACGTTGCAGATAGGGACGTTGTTTGGTCAGTGTTTTATCACTCGTGAGCAGCTTTGGGGTGCTGGGAGGGTTGTGGTGCTGACTGGTCCCACACCAGCATGCTCAGGTCTGTGGGAACGTGAGATCTGGAGGGGCTCAGATCCCTCAGCCTGGAGAGGTGGCTGCTCTCTGTGCCTTAGGGTTTGATCTCCTCCTGGTTAGCTGACAGCTCTGTGAGGCCTTATAAATCACTTAAAAATCACTCGTGTCTCTCCTCTGCCAAAGCAGCAGCTGCTCTGCTTTGCCCCGCATCCACAGGGCGCAGCTGGTGTGGTTTGCAGGGCAGAGCTGGTGTCCAGCAGCTCCCCGGGCACGCGGGATGAGCTGCGTGCTGTGCCCTTGCAGCGAGGTGTGTGTGCTGCTCTGGGTGCAGCTCCTGAGCGCGGGGAGCTCCCGGCAGCTCCGCAGGTTCCGGGAGCAGCCTCGCAGTGCCCCTCGTTTGGTATTCCGTGTCAGAGCTCCTGTGCAGCCCGGCTGTTGTCAAAACTGTTAATACGGGAGTGACTCAGCGGATCAATGGGAATGACATGAGGGTTGTGCTGTGGACAATCAGTGTTTCCTCCCCCCTCCAGCCCCACTGGGCTGGAAGACACAACGTCTGAGAGCAGCTGCCAACAACCGTCTCTGCTGGGCTTGGGGCTGGCTGTGCTCTGGAGCTGTCTCCCCCTGCCCACCCCCTCCCTGTTGTTTTCCTAGCTAGGAGGAGCTGGGCTGAGCTGTGCTGGAGCAGCACTCCTGTGCTTGGCTGGTGCCTCCAAGTGTGTGCCTGGCCCTTGATCTGGCGCTGCTGCGAGGCCCAGGGTGGGTAGGAAGCTGTTTATCTCTGCCTTCAGACAGGAACTGCAGCTCCACGGGCACTAAAGGCTTGGTGGGAGGGGAGGGAGCAGCCTTGGGTGAGCAGCAAGCCCTGATGTGCTGTTGTGGGGTGAGCAGGAGAGCTGCAGCCCCTGGGCTGGGGAGGAGAACCTCCCCTCATTCTGCAGGGCCAGGCACTGTGGGGTTTGGTACCAGAGGGCAGTGGCCTGCTTTGCCCTGTGCTACTCCTGTGACGTCCCACTGCAGTTTGAGGAGTCAGACCCTCTTCCCTTGTAGTGCTCCTGAGCAGGGGCAGGCTTGCGTGCCATCACAGGAGCTTCCTTTGTGTGTTTGCCTTGGCTTTTTGCTGAGAGCCTGTGGGAACAGCTCTGCCACAGCCCTGTAATTGGGCTCTGACTGGGCAGACGTGGCTCATTGTGGGTGCAGTGAGAAGCTGTGAACCTGAGCCTCCTTCCTTGGCCAGACATGGTGTGACCTGGACTCTGCTTCTGTCCAGCTGTACCTGTGAGCTGGGAGGGAGAGCAGGTCCCAGCAGCTCTGGGGTTCTGCAGGAGAACAAGTCATCTTCCTGTTAGAAAAGCTGTGTGAATAGTTCTGGGGTTTCGTGAGAGGCTGTTTCTGCTTCCTGCTGGCAGTTGCTGTCTCTGGTAGATTCGTCGCTGCAGAGAAGCAACAGCTTTGGTTGTGAGGGAGGTAAAAAGGTGATTTTCTGCTGGGGCAGCTGAGTGTGGAACATCAGGGTCCTCTGTCAGACTCTCTGATTCACACCAGCTGCCCTCCTCCTGCTGAAGAATTCTAAATTCCTGCCCAGGCTGTAGCCCTGCAGCCCTTCCTGTGGGCAGCCCCTCCCTTGCGTGTTACATCGATGCATTATTTCTAATAACTGGCTTGGAAAAAGCAGCCTGTGCATCAGGAACTGGCGTGACAGGACAAGGAGGAATGGCTTCCCCCTGACAGAGGGCAGGGTTAGGTGGATGCTGGGAAGAAATTCCTGGTTGTGGCAGTGGCACAGGTTGCCCAGAGCAGCTGTAGCTGCCCTGACTCTGGAAGTTCCAAGGCCAGGTTGGATCAAAGGAGCACCCTGGACTAGTGCAAAGCATCCCTGCCCCTGGCAGGGGAGGAACTGGGTGAGCTCTAGGCTCCCTTCCAACCCAAACCATTCTGTGATTCCATTCCAAGGTGTTCCAGCACACCCCTGCCTTGTCTGTCCTACCCTGTCAGGTTCCTGGGTGACACCTGTGGTGCTCAGAGCTGTGACCCCCCACTCACAGCCCCCCCAGCCTGGTGGGGGCAGGAGGGAGGGTGGTGCAGTGGCTGTAAAACCACAGGATGTCTCTCTGCCTTCTGCTCGCTGCGTTCAGAGTGTGCACAGCACATCAGCACCCACCAGGAGCCCTGTGTGGTGTGGGAAATGGCTCTTCAGGTAAGCTGAAACTTCGAGGTAAGGCTTTGCAGGGTGTTTCAAAATGCTACGTGGAGCAGGAAGTCTCTGGTTTCATCCACCGCCCACAGTAAGGAGAGTTTGCTCCTGCAGTAGAGGAATTCAATTAGTTCTGTAAAGACTTTAAATAGGCTTCTTTGGCTCCAGTGAGATGGTGGATAGAAGTTCACTGTGTCTGCAGGAGGATCTCCCAGGGCTGTGGAGTCTGTGTTCTGCTGGGAGGTTGGTGGCAGTGGCCCTTCCAAGCACTGCCCTGCTGTCACCTGCCTTCCCACTGCATCAGGCCCCTGGCACTTGAAGTCTCACAGCAGAATCATCCTGGCTCGTGGGAAACGCAGCTCTTGAGGCCTTGTGGTGACAGTGAAACCAGGTGCTCTCACAGTCCTGTCTGTGAAAGGCTTACACTGAGATGGTGACATGGGGGAAGCCCCAAGTCCTGCCCAGCGAGGTCCAGCTGAGCTGACCTCAGGCTGGGGAAGGGTCCCTGTGCCACAGGCAGCAGAAACACCTCCACTGGTGCCTGGGGACCATGCTCTGAACCAGAGCTGGGCAGTGTGTGTGCTGTTTAGTGTCTGTAGGGCAGGGGTGGCAATAAATTGGATGTGAGAGCAGGGTTTGGGATGAGGCAAGACACTGTTGCCTTGGAAATGAGGTGCTCGCTGGCCTCCCAGGGTGCTGGAGTCTGGAGGAAAGGAGCGTTAATTTTTGAGTCATTCATTTTTACATGTCCACCAAGCAAAGAATGTCCTGTAGCCCTTTGTTACTTAATGTTATGTAATGCTTTTTAATGAGGCAGGCCTGGCCTTTGCTTTCCCAGTGGTGAATGAGACAGTTGTCAGGTGATGCACGGGCTTTGTCACCCTGAGAGGGATGTTCTTAAGTTAATAAACAGGGGTTAAGGTTGAGCTTGGACTTGGATTTTGTGCAGCTTTCCTTTGGAAGAGCTTTGCAGCCCTGCAGCTGAGCAGTTTGTGCAGCAGGAGCAGTGCTGGGAGGGGTGTGGGGGTTCCCTGGGAGCACAGCCAAGTCTCTGGGGGTTTATTCCTCTTCCAGGCTGGGGGCTGCAGAGTCTTGCTAAGAGGGGCTGCTTGGGTGTGGGTGGCTGAACGATGGGCTCAAAAAGGTCAGTGGAAATCTAATTTAAAGCTGAACAGAGCTGTGTTTGTGCTACAAAAACTCCATTCTTGCAGACTCTGTCTTTGCCCAATGTTTTCAGGTAAAAAAATCTTTCTGCTTTTGAGGTAGCACTGAGGTACAAACAACAAAGCAAAAAACCCTTTTCTCATATCCTTTTTTTAGCAGGGACTGTTGGCAGTGATGAAGTTTATACTCTGCTTGGTTTCCCTGGTTTGATGTGGGGAGAGGATGGTGCTTTCCAGCAACTTCTGTGCTGTGTGTGTGGGCGAGGGGCAAGCTGAGGCTGTTCTGGAATCCCCTCGCCCCCAGCTCTGCCGATTCCTCTCAGGCTGTTGAGGATGTTGGTTTCAGTCAGTCTGGCTTTGGTGTTGCCAATCAGGGAATGTTTAGGAAGGACTCTGGCAGCAGAGGTGGGGTCCCTGTGCTGGAAGGG